ACTTTATTTCTTGTTTTTCATATTTATTCTTTATTTATTATTATAAAATTAACTAAAATTAAAATTAGATTTTTTAATTACGACTAGAATAGGTAAAATAAGTAATAATAATATAATCACAATGGTTCAAGAAGCATGCATGCGAACAGCTTGTGGGTAATATAATTTGATTGTGTAACGTGAGCTGTATGTTCCCCGAGTGATTTACAACTTATAATGATGCGAATAGCAGTTAGACACGGTTCAAAGGGCAATGAAACAATAAAATTTAATTATAAATAGATGTATTAGGATAAACAAATGTAGTTTCATGTTACAAGAAAGGAAAGAAGATTAATTTAGGTTTATTTCAATTTTTTTTTATGGTTACAAGGTCGGTCGAATTAATCAATCCGGTTTTGAGATAGGGTAGAAAAAATAACATATAAATTATAAGGATTTAGTGAAAAACAAAAACGTTTGAAATACATTTAGAGGTTTTAGGGATTACACAAAGGAAATATGAGATTTTTGAGATGAGGAAAAGTATTTTTAATTTTAACATGAAAATTACTTTGCACATGGACTATTCAAAACAAATATTCAATATATTCATGGACAACAAATCTTCATTATATTTTATCAAAAATACTTCACCGAGAAATATGACTTTTTGTATGTAAAAGACTTGTAATATTAACTGAAACACTGCCAAATTTCATGAAGATATACCCAATATATAGAGAGTTATAAGTATTAAATTTATATCAACGTTAAATGAGTACAAAAGGTCACGTGACTCGGTCAAATTGACCGACCCCGTTTATATGCAATTTATGATTTGTCTTTCATTAATTATAAAGTTACTGATTTATTGCATATATTTTTTTTTCAGAACATTTCCTTAATATTACACTTTTAAGGTTTAAAAAAGGTTATACAGTATATCAGTTGTTTACAAACTTTGGGTGGTGACCTCAGTTAAAGTCATGACAGACTCTGATGGGGGTCACAACTTTGACTGAACAAAAAATATACAAAAAATAAAGCTGAATGGGCCAGTTGAAAGACATTTGGAACAAACAGTATCGAGCATATTTAGGATGTCTGCAATGGGATCAGCACTGAAAAAAACTGTGAACCATTATCCTGAAAAACACCTATAAGAGCTCGAGAGAGGTCATATATGCTAGTAAAATAATTACAGGGTCACTGGGAAACCACAAACGGTATTTAAAAAAAAAAATTATGGTAAATGTACTTCTCTTCATCAATTCTGCTATAGTTCCAAGTATATACAAACTTCATTAAGATGTAATAAAGAATGTAAAGTATATTTAACATTCGATTCCAATAGGGGCGAGTAGAAGGCTTGTAGCATTCGTAAATAAAACATCTGCATATAGAGGGCAGCACTGAACAAGAATAGCTAATTTTGTAAGCGGAAGGAAATACTGTAGTCTGATTTTTGTCAGTACATATACAAGTGTATCAAATTTTGTGAAGATACACTTGTACATTTTGAATTACACATTAATTCTTCAATATGAGTTTGACACCAAATTTCTAAACTACAAAAATATAAAGTCTCACTGGAATCTGCTGGATTTCTCCATTACTGTTGATGACTTGCTGAACCAACTGAATCCCTCCAGTCTGGTTAAGTTGTCCTTGCTGCAGTGTCTGTGGAAGTTGAAGAACTTGTGGTGATGAGGCTGCTGACTAAGAGATAGAATTATAAGTTGTAGCTGAGGGTGCAAATGAGTAAGAAATCACAAATATCTACAAAGACATTCAACAAATTATACCCTTTCTTTTTCTGTCAGACTCAATCCTATCGCCAGTACTCAGTTACCTCTAAATGAAACATTTCAAAACACTGTTCTATGCTAGAAGATTTGGCTCAGGCATGTTGGTGATACATTCACAATATGATCACATACACATTATAGAGAAGCTTCAAGAATTTATGAACCACTGAACAGACATAATCCTATAATACAGTTCACAATGGAAAAAGATACACTCTCATTTGTTAATGTGATGTTTACCAAGATACATAACTCATATACCAGAGAAGCTTACCCATATCTCAGCTATAAATCAAACCAATCCAATAGTGTAAAAACATATGTCATATGTACCTGATGATGACAAAACCTTGTCGTAACGTTGTACATTTGCTGTTATGTTAAACTTGTATTAAACTTGTATTTTTCATTACCCATTCAAGCAGTCTCCAACCATTATATGTCATAGACTGCTTAGTTTCCAGAATGAAGAGATTTATAGTATCAAAGAAGCTAATAATGTCAAAGAAAACACACATTAATACAATGTTCCTTAACAATGGATAACTGAAACACTTGATAAAGAAAATACAGAGAATAAAAAAACAGACATACAACCACATATACCTCCATATGCTAACATAACTAATCAAACCACCTAAAAACCTGAAAGAAAAACACAAATGTGGATTTCAATACACGCAGAGCAGACAAACAACACTCAGCAATATTGATTTATCATCTATCTGCAATAGTCTATCATGCCAGAGAAAAAAACCTTATGATAAATTAGAATATTACAAAATAATAGGATATGAACCACATGTAAGAAAATGATAGATGAAAATAATAACACATTCCAGCAACCAAGTTATCAGAACCTGGATAATCCTCTTGAAAACATAGCAGCCAAATCTTAGGATTAAAACTAATTAGTAATTAGTATCCAGTCATAAATCTATTATCATCAGATGCAGAACTACTCAAACACCATAAAATAGCCAACAGCTAAATCTTAAGATTAAAACTAATTAGTAATTAGTATCCAGTCATAAATCTATTATCACTAACTACTCAAACACCATAAAATAGCCAACAGCTAAATCTTAGGATTAAAACTAATTAGTAATTAGTATCTAGTCATAAATCTATTATCACCAGATGTAGAGCTACTCAAACACCATAAAATAGCCAACAGCTAAACCAAATATTGTATCATTATCACCAGATGCAGAACTACTCAAACACCATAAAATAGCCAACAGCTAAACCAAATATTGTATCATTATCACCAGATGCAGAGCTACTCAAACACCATAAAATAGCCAACAGCCAAATCTTATGATTAAAACTAATTAGTATCTAGTCATAAATCTATTATCACCAGATGTAGAACTACTCAAACACCATAAAATAGCCAACAGCTAAACCAAATATTGTATCATTATCAATTTGGTTAACAGATACATTATGCACCAATTATTCCTTATATAATAGGTCTCTTTAGAAATGATCCAAATAGTGTAAACCAAAAGGATAATTTTGATTGATTAGGAAAGATGTTTACTTTTGCAGAGTGTGTGCAAACCATCAGAAACCAATTTGCTGAAACTGAAGTTTGCAGAGCCATCACACTTCTTCAAGAGGGCTGGATCCAGAATGAGGTGGCATAGGTCATGGGGGGTGTCACAAGCTGTGGTCAGGAGAAGATACAAAAAAAGCCAGGGTTGCAGAAGGGCTACAGGTGTGGTAGACAACTGATATCTGCAGAATGTAGCCATTAGAAACTGCACAAGTAGCACTAGGGCTCTTAGGAATGAGTTTCAGCAAGCCATTGGAGTGCATGTATTGTGCTCAATGTTCAAAAACAGGCTCCATGAGGCTGGGCTCAGGTCCACGATATCAGTTACAGTCCCTGTACTGGCCCCAAGGCACTGAACATCCTGGATGGTGCTTGCCCAACAACATGTCATCTGGGTCACTTAGCAATGGGACCCTGTACTGTTCAAAGATGAGAGCAAGTTCTGTGTATTTTCAAGTGGTCAACACATGAGGGTTTGTAGACATGAATGAGAAAAATATTTGGCCTGTAACACTGTCCACTATGATGCCTTATTGAGTGGCTCAATGATGGTCTAGGATGGCATTTCCATGCAGGCACATACAGACCTCTATGTGGTGGATGGAGGATGCCAAACAGCAAGACATTACATGGATGAGATCCTGCTACCTATTGTTTGCCTCTTTGCTAATGTTGTCAGAGATGAGTTTTTGGATCATTACACCACCAGGATCATGCAGCAATTTTTTCAGGATGAGGGAATAGATATAATGGACTGACCTGCTAGGTCACTGGACCTAAATCCAAATCAGCGTGTGTGAGGTTTAGTAGGGGAAAGCAGTTAGGGACAGACAACCTGCTCCTCCAACTATCCAGGAGCTCAGAGCTACCTTCACCCAGAAGTGGACTGTGCTCCCCCAGCAAGTCATTGAAAATGTCATGAGCAGTACAGAGAACAGGTGCAGAGAAGTATAAACAATAGAGGAGGACCTCTAAGCTGCTAAAGACTCCTTTTCTTAAGTTTGTTCATCTTAATAAGTGAATTTTTTTTTTATATGAGTGCAGCCAAATATTGTTTTTTGTTACTTTTAAATTAACTTTTTGACTTGCTTGATATTGTTTATCTGTGTTATATGTAATAAACAGGTTTTCTAAATAGTGAAAATCCATTTTTCTTTCCTTCAAATTTTGAAAATATATATCAAAACCTCATTATCCTTTAATTTTTTGAGTACTGTAGAAGCACACATGAATAAAGTCTATTATATTTTCCTAACAAGAATCACAGTAGATCCTTATACTTTATCTTAAAAAATTCATTTATTTTCACCACAAAAACGTTCCCATCTTAACACTTTTTCAAGCAATCTAATGTGTCGTTAATCATCACTTACTTACAGAATGTGTTGGACTAAGCAATGGTTCAAAATAGTGATCAACTGAAATAACGCATTCAAAAATAATTGTGCCACTCATGAAATCAATGCCAATGATAAATTTACTTAATTCACTCGCCACTTGTATTACTTACTGTCTGAACTTGAAGAACTGAAGGAACTGAAAAAGTAGGAGTTGCAGTTTGTACTGTTAGAGTTGGAGTTGTTGAGGCCATAGTCTGAATGCCACTACTGGTTTGTACAATTTGGATCTAAAAAAAGATATTTAAATACTGTTTGTACCAACAAGACAAAAAATAAAGACACGCAAAGTATTACACTGTGCTACAAACTAATACACTTCTCACACGGCCAAGCAAATCTCTGTAAAAACAAATTGCACAATATTCATACAACTAATTTTCTATGACAATATAAAGTTGAAATACCATTTATATTCATATGTAGGATTTTAGAGTTTCAACAACAAAAACTTAATACTAATATTTTTCTTTTACTGTAACTGAACAACTTGTTCATAAAACAATGCATTAAAAATTTCAACATATCATTTATATCAGCAAGAATCCAATCTTAATATGAATATATCTTTTCAAGATACAATAAAAATGAGATAACAATTGGCTAACTAGTTGGTAAGACTTGTGCCAAATATACGTATATTCCAACAAATATGTAAAATTGTTTTACCTAAATAGCTGTCCTAATTGTAATATTTTTACAACTAACAGAAAAATGCACATCATTGTGTTCCATGTATTTTCAAATAAAAGTAGTTCTGTACATTTTTTACAGGTAAAAAACACTGTACAATAGCAAGTTATCACACCCATTCATTATTGCAAGGTTAGAGAAATTTAAAATTAACATGTGTGCTTAACCATAAATCCAGCAAATTTAAAATAGGGTTAAATGAAACTAAATACTACAATATTTCACTGAGATGACCAACCATTTTCCTTGGTTTAGGTGTTAGACATCACATGTCAAGAAAATTCATAAACTGCATCACGACACTTCTTCCCTCCAAATTGCCAATTTTAGATTTAATTTCTACCCACTTTGAATTTCCAATAAATAACACACTTATAGTACAAATATTGTTAAAACATAAAACATGTCTACTGCCTCCAATTTTCTTAGTTTATGGGAATATAAAACCAGAAAGTCAAACCCAAATTCCACACCCTCCTATCACATTCTGTATTTCAAAAATGTCAATCATTCTCTCTCATTTGCTATTGGATCATTTATAACCAATAAAAAAGTGAAGATTTCAATTTATTGAATACATTGAAGCCTGGAGCTGTTGAGATAACTGGTCTGAATAATTTGCCATTGTTTTCATTGCAAGCCAGTGTTGGAACTAAGCTTGACCAGGTATGGGAATTATTTTACCCACATGTAGGTTAGTTAGAAAGTCAGAACAATTATATTAGGTTTAAAACATTCTATTTTACATGCTGCATATTTGAATTTTAAAATGTAATATTAGAAAGCTATATTTGATTTTATATCGTGCTTTTCAACAGTCACTACAGATAATTTTGTTACAATTAGTGTTAGGGTACAGAAAATAAGAGATAAAAGTTTTACTGAAAAAACAACTTCTAATATTCATTTTTTTAGGTTCTAGAGATTATGTATATGAAATATGAAACTGTAAGTTGAAAAAAGTATTTTTATTCTTAACATGAAAACCACTTTTTACTCCAACTGACTTCATAAATATCAAGTTAAGTCATTAGTAAAAATGATTCATTAAAAATCCTGCCTTTCTGTATACAACAGATGTGTGATGTTTACTAAAAGCCAACTAATTTTCATGAAGATACCTCAGAATTATAGTAAAAACTAATACTCCATCAAAGGATACAGACTTGAAATATAAAGACCAGCTTTCCAGTAATTTCACAATTTTAAATTCACTAATAAAGGAAGCTGCACCATTAATTACTTGGTTTTTAAATGTTAGCCATCAAGATTTATACCAAAACAATAACATCTTATAATAAAATCAGTGAAATATATACTCAGAAAACATAATGAGCATTCCAGCATTTTATGTTTTTCACAATTTTTTGAAGAGAAAAAAAGTATGAAACTCAAACCAAAATAAATCTAGCTCAAGAAAAATACCCATAATATGGCAGTTTATCATTGGTTTACTATAATTTGATCAACACATTCCAACAGCATAACTGCAAATTGTATCTGTGGGTGTGGCAGTTTGTCACCAGGTAAATTAAGTTTACTTGATCAACACAATCCATCAGTACAGCTACAAACTGCTACACCATCTGAGTGATGTATTGAACTGTACCTGTGGTGTGGCAGCTTGTTGCGTCACTGTCTGCTGTTGGGGTGTAGCAACAGTATTGTTCTGTTGCTGCAAGGCTGCTTGGTGTTGCTGAGCTAGTTGAAAGTAGTACTGCACCTGATCTGGGTGCATGGCTGCCGTAGTTCTCACACTATCATCTTGTCGTTTGGTGGGTTTCAATTCATCTCGAGGCACAATGTCAATCAAAAAGTCAAACTGATCATACTTTGTGATCGCCATGGCAATGTCATTTTTCTGAAATTTAAATGCAAAATATTGGAAAACAGTTTAATTAATTCTTTTAATAACAATTACTCCTTTTATGAAAAAGACTACAAAGATCATCTCAGGCATTTTTCTCTCTCTCTGTCCATAACTTCATAAAATCTAACTAATATAAGATGAACAAAGTTACTAGTCCAGCTATGTACATCGATATAATGTATAAAGACATTATATCGATGTACATAGCTGGACTAGTAACTTTGTTCATCTTACAAAACTTTGTTCATCTTACAACTTTATACTAGTCCAGCTATGTACACGGATATAATGTATAAAGTTGTAAGATGAACAAAGTTACTAGTCCAGCTATGTACACGATATAATGTATAAAGTTGAAAGATGAACAAA